TGTGAGGAGACCTGTAAAGTGGCACATGGCAGAGTGTGGCGATGGAGACAGCAGCAATGGGAGGCCTGTACAGGGACCCATGACACACTCTGGACCTGGCAGCAGCATGAGGAGGCGGTACAGGGGCCCATGGCAGATTACGGGCCTGGCAGCAGCATGAGGAATCTGCCAGCACCCTACGGGGGCAAAAAATGGCAGATTACACCTGGCAGCAGTGGGAGGCCGTAAGGGACCCATGACACAATCTGTGGACGATGGAGCAGCAGCATGGGGAGGCCGGTACAGGGGCCCATGACAGATGTGTGGGGCCATGGCAGCAGCATTTGGAGTCGGTACGGGGGCCCATGACACACTCTGGACCTGGCAGCAGCATGAGGAGGCGGTACAGGGGCCCATGACAGATTACGGGCCAGGCAGCAGCAACTTGGACAGGAGGACGTTCATTGCCTGCACCCTATGTCAAAAAATTAAACTCGCAACCACTGTGTGAGGGAAACGGATTCCAAGAAAGACTGCTGACAATGGGAATCCGTGAACAGGAGCAAGCAGGAGAAGGAGCCCATGAAGACGCTTGGACAGGAATATACGGGCAGCAGCATGAGGAGGCGGTACAGGGGCCCATGGCAGATTAGGGGCCTGGCAGCAGCTATGGGAGGCCCGTAATCTGCCAGCACCCTATGTCAAAAAATGGAACCCACACCAGCAGTGTGAGGAGACCTGAAAGTGGCACATGGCAGAGTGTGGCGATGGAGACAGCAGCAATGGGAGGCCGTACAGGGACCCATGAGAGACTCTGGACCAGCAGTGTGAGGAGACCTGAAAGTGGCACATGGCAGAGTGTGGCGATGGAGACAGCAGCAATGGGAGGCCGTACAGGGACCCATGAGAGACTCTGGACCTGGCAGCAGCATGAGGAGGCGGTATATAGGGGCCCATGGCAGATTAGGGGCCTGGCAGCAGCTATGGGAGGCCCGTAATCTGCCAGCACCCTATGACAAAAAATTCTGGACACACCAGCAGTGTGTGAGGAGACCTGAAAGTGGCACATGGCAGAGTGTGGCGATGGAGACAGCAGCAATGGGAGGCCGTACAGGGACCCATGAGAGACTCTGGACTTGGCAGCAGCATGAGGAAGGGTATATAGGGGCCCTATGGCAGATTAGGGGCCTGGCAGCAGCTATGGGAGGCCCGTAATCTGCCAGCACCCTATGTCAAAAAAATTCTACACACCAGCAGTGTGTGAGGAGACCTGAAAGTGGCACACATGGCAGAGTGAGTGTGGCGATGGAGACAGCAGCAGCAATGGGAGGCCGTACAGGGACCCATGAGAGACTCTGGACCTGGCAGCAGCATGAGGAGGCGGTATATAGGGGGGCCTATGGCAGATTAGGGGCCTGGCAGCAGCTATGGGAGGCCCGTAATCTGCCAGCACCCTATGTCAAAAAAAATTTAACACACCAGCAGTGTGTGAGGAGACCTGAAAGTGGCACATGGCAGAGTGTGGCGATGGAGACAGCAGCAATGGGAGGCCGTACAGGGACCCATGAGAGACTCTGGACCTGGCAGCAGCATGAGGAAGCGGTATATAGGGGCCCATGGCAGATTAGGGGCCTGGCAGCAGCTATGGGAGGCCCGTAATCTGCCAGCACCCTATGTCAAAAAATTCAACACACCAGCAGTGTGTGAGGAGACCTGAAAGTGGCACATGGCAGAGTGTGGCGATGGAGACAGCAGCAGCAATGGGAGGCCGTACAGGGACCCATGAGAGACTCTGGACCTGGCAGCAGCATGAGGAGGCGGTATATAGGGGGGGCCTATGGCAGATTAGGGGCCTGGCAGCAGCTATAGGAGGCCCGTAATCTGCCAGCACCCCCTATGTCAAAAAATGGAACACACCAGCAGTGTGTGTGAGACCTGAAAGTGGCACATGGCAGAGTGTGGCGATGGAGACAGCAGCAATGGGAGGCCGTACAGGGACCCATGAGAGACTCTGGACCTGGCAGCAGCATGAGGAGGCGGTATATAGGGGCCCATGGCAGATTAGGGGCCTGGCAGCAGCTATGGGAGGCCCGTAATCTGCCAGCACCCTATGTCAAAAAAATTACACACCAGCAGTGTGAGGAGACCTGAAAGTGGCACATGGCACATGGCAGAGTGTGGCGATGGAGACAGCAGCAATGGGAGGCCGTACAGGGACCCATGAGGACTCTGGACTCTCTGGACCTGGCAGCAGCATGAGGAGGCGGCGGTATATAGGGGCCTATGGCAGATTAGGGGCCTGGCAGCAGCTATGGGAGGCCCGTAATCTGCCAGCACCCTATGTCAAAAAATTCTACACACCAGCAGTGTGTGAGGAGACCTGAAAGTGGCACATGGCAGAGTGTGGCGATGGAGACAGCAGCAATGGGAGGCCGTACAGGGACCCATGAGAGACTCTGGACCTGGCAGCAGCATGAGGAGGCGGGGTATATAGGGGCCCATGGCAGATTAGGGGCCTGGCAGCAGCTATATGGGAGGCCCGTAATCTGCCAGCACCCTATGTCAAAAAATTCAACACACCAGCAGTGTGTGAGGAGACCTGAAAGTGGCACATGGCAGAGTGTGGCGATGGAGACAGCAGCAATGGGAGGCCGTACAGGGACCCATGAGAGACTCTGGACCTGGCAGCAGCATGAGGAGGAGGCGGTATATAGGGGCCCATGGCAGATTAGGGGCCTGGCAGCAGCTATGGGAGGCCCGTAATCTGCCAGCACCTATGTCAAAAAATTCTACACACCAGCAGTGTGTGAGGAGACCTGAAAGTGGCACATGGCAGAGTGTGGCGATGGAGACAGCAGCAATGGGAGGCCGTACAGGGACCCATGAGAGACTCTGGACCTGGCTGGCAGCAGCATGAGGAGGCGGTATATAGGGGCCTATGGCAGATTAGGGGCCTGGCAGCAGCTATGGGAGGCCCGTAATCTGCCAGCACCCTATGTCAAAAAAATTCTACACACCAGCAGTGTGTGAGGAGACCTGAAAGTGGCACATGGCAGAGTGTGGCGATGGAGACAGCAGCAATGGGAGGCCGTACAGGGACCCATGAGAGACTCTGGACCTGGCAGCAGCATGAGGAGGCGGGGCGGTATATAGGGGGCCATGGCAGATTAGGGGCCTGGCAGCAGCTATGGGAGGCCCGTAATCTGCCAGCACCCTATGTCAAAAAAATTCTACACACCAGCAGTGTGTGAGGAGACCTGAAAGTGGCACATGGCAGAGTGTGGCGATGGAGACAGCAGCAATGGGAGGCCGTACAGGGACCCATGAGAGACTCTGGACCTGGCAGCAGCATGAGGAGGCGGTATATAGGGGCCCATGGCAGATTAGGGGCCTGGCAGCAGCTATGGGAGGCCCGTAATCTGCCAGCACCCTATGTCAAAAAATTCAACACACCAGCAGCAGTGTGAGGAGACCTGAAAGTGGCACATGGCAGAGAGTGTGCGATGGAGACAGCAGCAATGGGAGGCCGTACAGGGACCCATGAGAGACTCTGGACCTGGCAGCAGCATGAGGAGGCGGTATATAGGGGCCCATGGCAGATTAGGGGCCTGGCAGCAGCTATGGGAGGCCCGTAATCTGCCAGCACCCTATGTCAAAAAATGGAACACACCAGCAGTGTGTGAGGAGACCTGAAAGTGGCACATGGCAGAGTGTGGCGATGGAGACAGCAGCAATGGGAGGCCGTACAGGGACCCATGAGAGACTCTGGACCTGGCAGCAGCATGAGGAGGCGGTATATAGGGGCCTATGGCAGATTGGGGCCTGGCAGCAGCTATGGGAGGCCCGTAATCTGCCAGCACCCTATGTCAAAAAATGGAACACACACCAGCAGTGTGTGAGGAGACCTCAAAGTGGCACATGTTTGAGGCATGATTCATGGCGGATTTAGTCAGTTGTGTCAGGAACTGGTGGTTTGAAATCCAGACTAATCCACGCCTGATTCATTTTCACAAACGTGAGTCTCTCCACACTTTGGGTGGACAGTCGTGTCCTCCGCGGAGTTACAATACCTCCTGCCGCACTAAACACGCGCTCCGATGCCACGCTACTGGCCGGGCATGACAGCCTTTCAAGGGCAAATTCAGCTAGTTGGGGCCAAAGGTCAAGTTTCGTTGCCCAGTAGTCAAGGGGATTGTCTACCTCGGTTGGCAGGGTGCTGTCCAAGTAGGCCCAAGCCTGTTGTTTGAGGTCCTGCTCCAGGTCCACCTGATGATGCTGCTGCTGCTGCTGCGGCTGGTTTAGTAGTTTCCTCACTGCGCTGGTGAAGAAAGCTACTCATCATCGACTGCAGACTGAGGCAGCCGCTGCTGGTGGAGCTGCCACTGCTCCTACCACCCCACCCCTCCCCTGCTGCCATGGCAGCGGAACGCGAGCGCACAGGGCCCACAGTGTCTGAGGATGGACGTTGGCGCACAAAGGCAGAGACCAACTGACTACATAGGTGGTTTTTATAGTACGTTATTTTGGCCTCCCTCTCAGCAGGTGTGAAAAAAAGGCCACCATTTTTGAACGGGTAGCGAGGGTCCAACAAGGTGGACAGCCAAAAGTCATCCCTCTGTCTGATGGTTATTATTCGGCTGTCGCTACGCAAGCAACCGAGCATGCTATGGGCCATTTGTGCCAAGGAATGCGAGGGACTCCCTGCCTCCATCTCCACAGCATACTGCCCACGGTGCGTCTGGGTCCTCTGTCTCCTCCTCCTCCTCCTCTACCAGATGCTCCTGCTCCTCCACTCCTGTCCGCTGAGTGGAAAAAAACCACCCATTTCACTCAATAATTCCTGAGCACAAATGTCCTCCTCTACCTCCTCCTCTTCTTCCTGTCCTGCCCCCACAGGGGTCATGTGGCGTTGAGATCTGTGTGCGCCACGTCTACCGCACCCTGACCAGCCATTGTTAACAGCATTTGTTCCAGGACGTGCAACAGAGGAATGACGTCGTTCATCCCATAGTCCTGCCGACTCACGAATAGCGTGGCCTCCTCAAAGGGCCTGAGCAAGCGGCAGGTGTCACGCATGAGCTGCCAATGGCTGACATCGAAGTTACACAGGGGAGTACCTTTATCCGCTTGTAACATCAGGAAATCGGTGATGGCCTTTCGCTGTTCGTAAAGGCGGTCTAACATGTGTAGGGTTGAATTCCACCTTGTTGCAACGTCGCAGATCAGGCGATGCTGTGGAAATTCCGTTCTGCCGCTGCAGCTCAAGGAGGGTGTGCTTTGCGGTGTAGGAATGGCTGAAATGCATGCAAAGTTTACGTGACATTTTAAGGATGTCTTGCAGTGGGATGGTGGATTTTAGGAACCGCTTGACAACCAGATTGAACACGTGAGCCATGCATGGCGCATGGCACAACCTTCCTTGACGCAGAGCAGACACCATGTTCTTTCCGTTGTCGGTCAACATGGTTCCGATTTTCAGTTTGCGCGGAGACAGCCATCTGTCGATTTCTCTGTTCATTACACTCAGAAGTTCCTCCCCTGTGTGACTACGTTCGCCAAGGCATACCAGGTGCAGCACAGCGTGACACCGTTGCGCCCTGCACATGTGATATGCCGGTCGGGTAATGGGACTTGGCACGGGGGTGGCGGCTGAGGACACGGCGGAAGAAGAGGTGGTAGAGGCGGACATCTTTGCCGGACCAAGGACGTGCAAACGTGGAGGCAAAAGCGGCGTGACCTGTCCAAGTTGCTGGTGCGGCTGTGACGGCACCACGTTCACCCAGTGGCCGCCGTAAATGACATGTACTGTCCCTGACCGTAGTTACAGCTCCACACGTCGGCGCTGCCGTGCACTTTGGCAGAGACCGACATGCTCAAAGACTGGCCCACCATCTCTTCTACATGTGAATGCAGGGCTGGCACTGCCTTTTTGGC